CGCGGCCCAGCAGCGTCCGCCGCAGCAGCATCCGCAGCAATACAAGTCCTCGCCGGGGGGCTACCAGAGACACTACCAGGTATGGGAGGGGGAGCTGGCCCGGGCTGCTGGGCGCCTCGGTGTGTGTGGGAAGGAGATTAATGGCGCCTCGGAACACGCAGCAGCAGCCCTGACTTCCGCGCACACCCTTCTTAGGCTCCTTCTTCACATCCCCGGAAAAGAGGGACGGTTATAATAGTGAAATCTCCCCCACGCGGTACTAGAGAGAGGAGAGAGATTGAGTCACACAGCCAACGCCTTCCACGTTTTATGAAAGGCTTGGGGGAGGGGACCAGGCGCAAAGTAAAATAGCAAAATCCTCACCAAGCTCTTTGGAGACTGAGAGAGACACAAGGATCCCGGGAATATTCTCTCCCCCTTTTCCTTGTTCTGGCATTTAGGGTTCTGGGGGCGGTAAAAAAAAATCAAGGTGCAAAAAAAAGCTCATCCCTCTCCTTCCTTATATTAGCTTGTTCTTCCCCCTCAATTTTATCAAGTTGGTTTTTGTTTATTTAAAACTCAGATGAATGTGAATATTTGTAGCTTTGGACAGGACGTCTTACTTGATGTGTTGACATAACTGGGAGATTGAGTACAGTCTAACATGGGGTGTTGCTGAAATGACAAAAAACATTTTTGGAGTTGAAAAAAACCTTTCATAGTTACAAAAGGAACTTTAAAAACAAGTTTGAAATACTGTCTGATTAGAGGTTTTAAGTTTCCAATTTTAAAGTGGTGAATTGCTGTGCTAATCTGTGAATTGTAGCTAGTCTCTGTATTGGCCTAATAGTTAAAGTAACAACACCTGTGTGAGTGAAATATTACTTAGCTAGTAATGTCATAACATTTGAAGTAAATAAATTCAGATTTTCTTTTTAAAAGAGACAGGGGTACGGAACTAACTTTACCAGAATGCATATGCACTGTAGAAGTGCCATGGTCATCATCCCAAAAGGTGATATGCAGATGTAGATTAAAACATTTAGCCAAATGTTTACTACTTAATCAGGTACAAAGCAAACAGCATTAAAGCCATACAAAATCCAGTTCTGCTGAAATGAGTATTTGTTTTCAACTCAGTTAAAAACTTTTCCATTCTACCACTAGTACTGATAAACTGTGCTTGGACCTTCATGCCAAATCACTCTGATGTTGCCTTTTCAGAGTGGTTATGGGCATGGGACTATGCTTACAGTATTGGACACTATGGCTAGTTTGTTGAATTTCAGTAAAATTGTTGTTGGTCAAGTTTTGTTCACAATGTATTTTTTTCTGAGAGTAAATTAATAAAAGGTAGGAATTTGCAGTGGAGGAAGGACTGAAATCTAAAAGATGGAGGGGAGAGTTTGTGATCTTGAACTGCATTCTGGTAGATACTAAAAATATTGAAGTATCTAAATTTAAACTATTTTTTGAGTTGCACAAGTACATAACTAGACACAGGAAAGAAGTAATGTTTTGGTTAAGTATAACTGCTCATGACTATGTCCCTACAACTTAGTCTTTAGGGCTTTGTCTACACTGCCAATTGAGAGACAAAATTTGTATCTGTTATAGGTGCTTAATCACCACCACCCCTGAAAGACACAAGTTTTGCCACAGTGAGTGGCAGTTTAAACAGAGTATTGCAGCATTTCTTAAACTGTATTCCGCGGCACACCAGTGTGCCCTGAGGCAGTTGGAGATGTGCCGCGGAGATAGGGTGACCATATGTCCCTTTTTTCTGGGACAGTCCTGAATTTAAAAACATTCAGAGCTAGCGCGGTGCAGCAGCAACTCCCCGCCTCCACCCAGCACATAAGTGGCTCCCTTGGTGCTTTGCGCGGGCAGCCAGGGCCAGTACCGTGCAGTGTCCAGAGCTTGGAGTTCCCATGCAACATGCTGCTGTCCGGTAAGCCCCTGCCTTCCTCCCCCCACCATGTGGCCCTTCCCACCTGCTGTGGGACTGCCTCCACCATGCGCCGCCAGCCCAGCATCCTCCATCCACAGGTGGCTGCCATTGCTGCCAGAGGGGGAGGAGTGCTGGCTGAAGCCGGTGAGCCGCTCCTGGGAGCTGCCACCAGAATCCCGGCAGAGACTTCACAGAGCTCGGCTGGAGTACTGCAGAGCGGGGTATGTCTGGGCTCTGCTAGTGTGCTCTGTGCACGGCCCTTTCCCCCCCGCTCCTTCCCGCTCTGCTGCGGGAGCGATAGTGCACGGACCTGCTTGCTCTGTCACACTCTGCAAGCCAGACTTGGGAGGCTGGGGGCTTTCTTCTATTCCTCCTACCCGCACTACTCCTAACGGGAGCCATAGCGGGTGTGGGGACTGGAATGTGGCACTAACATTAGCACCACGGGCAGCCCAGCCCAGGCCCGGCAAGCAGTCCTGCCTGGGAAGCAGCTGGGGCCAGGTCTGTGGGGACTTCTGGAGCCCGACCACAGACTCAAACTGGAAGGCAGAAGCCAGGTAGGGGAGGGGAAGGGAAGAGGGAAAATAGGGGGAAGGGGCTTGTGCTGAGGGGAGGGGAGGTCAGGAGAAGAAAGGGGAAGGTGCCAAGGGACAGAGTGGAGGTGAGACAAGTGGAGACAATGAGGAAAAGAGTAGGAGGAGGAAGGGGAGGTGTCAGTAGGGGTGGGAAGGTGGAGGGGTCAGGGTGATGCTGGGAGAGGGGAGGAGAAGAGCATTGGGCGCAAGAGGAACAGGGGCATGAGAGCAACTGGGGAAGAGGGTGGTGAGGGAATGGGCATCAGGGAGAAAGAGGGCAAGGGGACGGGGAAGGGAGGAAGCACCAGGAGGAGACAGGGGTAAGGGAAGGTGCAGGTGCCAGGGGATTTTGGGGGTGAAGCAGAAGGGCAGAGATCTGCAGGGGAGAGGGTAAGGTGGGGCCCAAACTCCTCCCCTATGGGTAGGAGTAGGATGGGAAAAGTTCTTAGAGGGGGTTACTTTTACTTCTGGTCATGTGTCCAACTTGACCCTGAGAGCTATGGGTAGGAGTAGGATGGGAAAAGTTCTTAGAGGGGGTTACTTTTACTTCTGGTCATGTGTCCATCTTGACCCTGAGAGTCATAGTAAACAGAGGTCAGGGGTTGTAGGTAATTTGTCCCTAATTTTGGTTCAGAAAATATGGTCCGCATACACAGAGAGAACAGAGTTCAAATGGCCATGCTCAAAAGGCAGCAAGCTTCCTTTTTTCCCCCCCTCTCTCTTTGCTCAACAAAAATCCTTGGTGTTCCCCATAACAAAATATTGATTGGTGTTTCTCAGCCTTAAAAAGTTTAAGAAACACTAGCGTATTGTCTAGGGTGCTCTCTTGTCAACAACTAAAAGACCCTGCTCAATAGTGTTTTTGCTGCCCATCTTTTAACTACACAGTAGTAGTATAGTGTAGACTAAGCCTACTAATAAGATCCCTGCGTTCCAAAAAACAGCTATTTCATAATGTCATCTGGATAAAATGACTTAAAACAGTGCCATAACGTGAGTTCTGGAAGAGTTAAGTACAGGTTGAACCTTTCTAGTCCAGCAACTTCAGGACCTGACCAATGCCAAACCAGAGAGTTCAATGAACCACAGGAGGTCAGTATTGTTTAAGAGCATTACCAACACTTCCACTTCTTACAAGACATTTAGGGGCAAATTAAAGCTAAATAACAGCATAGAACACTGAGAATTGGGACTGGTGGCTGTAAATAAATTGTATGGGATGGTGGGAAGCTTAGTCATATCCATGATAAGTGGACATCCAGCTAATTAGTCATGCCAGACCACAGATGTTGCTGGACCAGAGTGTGCTGGACTCAAGAGGGTTCAGCATGTAGTTTGATTCCATCATTGTTCAAAAGTGAGAGTTACCATTGGAGTGTTGAATTTTCTCTGTCCTGTAAATCCATCATTGCTGATGCATAGGGATGTCAAAATCTCCAAAGCTTATAATACAGCTGACAACCTGAAATTTTAATAACCCAGAAAAAACATGTACAATCTTTTGTTTAACGGGATTGAGAAAAGGCATTTCTTATTGACAGCGTTTCTTAGAGTTTTTATTTAACATGTAATACTGTGATTTTCAAGCACAAAAATGAGCACAGTTGAATTTTTGTGTTTGGTTACCATAATCTTATTTTAAAAGGACAAAAAAGCTTAAAGGAAAATAGTGTTATGTATAGATTTGTTGTAATTATGCTATTTTTCAAAACAGCTTGAATTAGGGGAGTGAACGGGTACCCAATTAACTTTAATGGGTGATGCTTATCGGGTAACAGTTCAACATTACAGTAAACCTCCATTGGTCCGGCATCCAATGCTCCGGCACTCCTGATGGTCCCATCAGGAACCTGGAAGTGCTCTGGCTGCTGGATGATTGGAGCTTCTCTGTGCCCAGCTTCCCCGATTCAGCCGCTGCTGGAACTGACCAGCAGCTGAATCAGGGAAGCTAGGGGCAGAGAAGCTGGGGTGCTGCCTGGTTGGTCCCATAGTGCTGCCCTTTCCTGGAGTCAGCCGCTGATCAGTTTCAGCAGCAGCGGACTTTGAGACGCCTGGAAGGTGCCGGATTATTGGAAGTTTACTGTACCTGGGAGCAGCCTCCCTACCCCATGCTGCCAGCAGTCAGTCTACATGGGCTGAGAGTTGGCAGCCTTGCACAGTTCTAGAAGTGGCAGTTCTGGGGAGAAGGGAAGTTGCTGGCTCACAGCCTGGGCATCTGCAGCACCCTGCCCTTCTTCTGGACCCATGCATGGGCGGTGAGCTGGTTAAACATACAGTTTGACCAGTTAACATTTAAATAGTAATTTACATTCCTAGTTCTAATTCACTAAAAACTTATTGCAAAGCAGATACTTACCCTAAAAACATGTTCGTGTTCTAGGCATAGTCTTCAGGTCAAAGAGGGTCTTTTACTCTGACCTGAGTCCCTAGCCTTCATTTGGAGTGTCAGGCCAACAGAAGACAAAGACCTGATAGCTTCTCATTACTTAAATAGTCTTCTCCCCAGGGCAGGAAACTTTTGTTCTACATTCCCCCTTCCATTGAAGAATACCTGGATCAAAATAGAATAGCATTTATGCTGCCCAACTTTAAAGTGCTACCAGCTTGTGTTGTTTTTTAAAGACAAAGTTGTTTACAAGTTAAGTTGATTAAGTGCTACCAGATTGTGTTGTTTTTTAAAGACAAACAAAGTTGTTTACAAGTTAAGTTGATGATCCAGTTGTTAAGGCTTCTGGGGAGGCACTGGTATGAGTCTCATTAGCATATTCAAAACTAAACAGTTTGATACTTCATATTTCTGACTTTACAAACAAAATGATTCATGCATTAAATAGTACATACAAATACAGCAGTTTGTAACATTAAAATTGATAGGCTGCATGAATGTTGTGTAAAGCATCTTCAGTTATACATATTTGTATTCATAAACCAAACTTCATAAAGCATGTTGGGAACTGTCTCAGAGGTAACGACAAATTTCTGCATTATTATAGGAAGTGCAAAATCTGGTAAAATAGTGTCATATCCTGCTTTCCATAAGTATCTGAAAACCCTGGGCTCTTTGGAGCTGACAGCTAAACTTTTTCAGCAAACTGAAAGGATAGCGACAGTGACAGTATGTCTAGTCATTATTACCACATGTAAAATCATGGTATTAAACCATGTCATGCTAGAGACAGTTTTCCGTGTGTGGACAGTCTTAGGCTTTCTATTAAAAGGACGATAGGTGCAAGAATAGGTTCACTATATCAGCAAGACAAATTGCATTAGGTAGTGTTACCCACTAGGACAGTGTTAGGAAGTTTGTCTCCTTTTTCCCACACACTCTCAGTAATAAAATAAAGTAGGTAGTGTTACCCACTAGGACAGTGTTAGGAAATTTGTCTCCTTTTTCCCACACTCTCAGTAATAAAATAATTAATATTTCTTTATGTTTTGAAATACTTGTTGTGATAAATATTTTAAAGTATAAACTTCTACATAAACAGTTATTTCAAAATAGTGATTTGTGATTAATAAAATGGGAAGCTTTACTTCCTGAATAAGTGCTTTATTACACATTAGCTTAATTCAGAAAGGTGCTCTTATTCCAAAATAGTCAATGCAGGGAGTTAGTCAAGAGTAGCTGGCCCCTTCTGATTTCACACCCCCACCTTATTCCAGATTGTTTCATCTTTAGATGAGTCCATTTGTATTTCTCCAATGCGATCATCCTTTCAAAATATTTACAAAACATCCTGTGACATCAGAAATTCTGAGCTTGAATAAATTGTCTTCTGAGTGCTGTGAATTATGGACAGAAGGTTATAAAAAGAATAAACATTTCCTGTGTGTGGTGATGGAGAGCTACTAAATTAGGTTACAACAATTTTAGAGAAATGAAACATCTTTGATCAGTCTTCTGAAAACTAGAATATGCACCTTTACTCTTCAATATACATATTTAATTACTGTCTCTTAATGCCAGTCTTTTTTGCTAGTTTTTATTGACCTGATCTGGGGAGCACTAATAAATCTACTAATGTCTCATGGAAGACTTTTTAAACTATAATTCTTGTTTTTCTTCTTATAACATGGGGCACTGATAAAAATTGAGACATCACTGTTCTTCTACTTGTAGTCATTTTTCTGTTGGTGAGATTCTAGTCCTATCCAATAATTGTGGATATGACAGAGAGAAATAAGGAGGGAGGTGAAACAAATCTTTAGATGTTCTTCAAAGTGTCTTCTCCATATTCCCATTTGTGGGATTTTACTCTCCATGCCATCAATCTTTGGATGCACTCTGGAACAAATAAGCTATTGTGACCACCCCTTTTGCACCACCATATTTTTAGAATTGAGATTTTGAGCAGATAGATGGGTCCCAGGATCCTCAATTCCTCTGTGACTAGACCTAGGAACCATCCCTGCGTGGAAGTAAAACTAGTTGCTATCTAGAACCTTTAGATCAGTCATGTCAAACATACAGGCCGCATGCAGCCCACAACTACATCTTTATAAATCTAAGTGCAACCCTCCTGGTTACGTTGTTTATAACAGGCGTGGCCAACCCAAGGCTCTCGAGCTGCATGTGGCTCTTTGATTAAAGAAATGAGGCTCCTGCTGGTTCTGAGCCATGCAGCAGGACTGCTCATCGCTGGCTGCTCTGAGAATGCGTCCCAGTGCTTGCTCACTGCTGGCCACTCTGTGCGCATATCCCAGCACCTGGAGGGAGAAGCGCATGGCGGTGGCGGCTCCAGGACCCAGGCATTAGGTTAGAACAGGAGGGCTGGGAGTGCCTGGCTCTGGGGGAGTGGAGGGAGATTGGGTTATAGAGTGGTGTGCCTGACTCTGGGGAAGGGGGGGCATTGGGTTGGAGCGGGGGGTGCCTGGCTCTGAGAGAGAGGAGGGGGGATTGGGTTAGAGCAGGGAGTCTGGGCAGGGTTAGAGCGGGGGAGGGGGGAGCTGAAACACCTTAAACTCAATGTCTTCATGGATGCAAACAACAGTTTTACACATCAAATTATTGTATTATATTCAAACAAGACTGAACAAATATTATAAAATATACCTAAAACATAATCTATAATAATAAATAATTACAACTTTCTAATTACACTTACAAATAAGTACATTTTTTTTGGTGTCCCTGAAAACTATCAGTTTTCGTTTGTGCAGCCCTCAGTAGTCTTCAAGTTTGACATGCCTGCTTTAGATACATAATTTCTGTGCTAATGTTTAGATTCATAGACCATCCCTGAGCAGCATGTCTAGTTCCAAGTTTTTATTGCCAAAGTTGAGTTAAAATCTTATCTGTTGTTGCTTGAAGGTCCCAAATATATACAAAAAGAAACTAACCTTACAGAGGAAAATCTGAAATTTACATCCAATACCCCAGGCTGTCAAATTGGTACAGAAAACAAACTGGGGGATGAAGTGAGAAATCTCTTATGTTTGTTATAGTTCTCTTAGATTATGTACTTGCCACAGTAATCAGTGAGGATAGTTAAGTTGGCGTCCTTAAATGTTGTGATAGCACAGACAAGAAGTTACATTAAAGTTTCAAAAGCACCAACAGACACATACTTAGTCCCTTGTTAAGCAGTTTGTGCTGCATTTAATTCAGATTTATGGAACAACAGTGGAAGAAGGGAATCCTTTCTGTATAATTTGAAAAACAACTGTTTTTTATCCAAATACCATGTTCCGTACTGTAAGCTTCATGGGTTAATTGCATGTGTCTGCTTTGTACAGCATAAATTAAACCTTCTGCCTTAATTATTTTATAGTGTCTAGATTTTGATGTGTGTAAATTAGCGATGACAACATGTAGTTGACTATATGATTAACCAGTAAGCATAGGCTTATCAATTAGTCCTGTATCAGTGAGGGGGAGCAGACAGGAGTCCGTGCCTAAAAGTCTGCTCCCCACAAGCACTGGCTCTGCAGAGCTGCTGCCTCTATCTCTGTGGGGTGCCGGTGCAGCTCCTTTCCCCAGAGAGCTTAGACCTCCCACCGAAAGGGGCTGCTGCTCCCCCTTCCTGCTACCTCTGTATCAGTGGCAGGGGGCTCCCCGGGAATGGGGCTGAAGTGCAGTGGCTGCCAGCCCCGCTCCCCGGGGGACTATCAAGTAATTTATGTAACTGCAAAGTTTTGATGCAGTTACCCAATTATTCAGTAATTTATGTAACTGCAAAGTTTTGATGCAGTTAACTGAATAATTGGGTAATAGATATCTAACATCTCTATTGTGAATTGCTCTTTGTAAACTCTTTCCTGACCCTAATCTATTTTTCTTTTGTTACGCTGTTTTTAATTAGACATGTTTAAGCCTGTGTAGTCTATCAAAAATAGTCTTAGTGGTTTTTTTCTACGGTTACATGCCAGTATGAAGTGAACATTTTACTCTAGATAAGCTTACTGTTGTATACAGGCACATCACTGTTCCCAAGAAAAAATTGTGATGAACCTTGTTATACAAACTAAAGTCTTCTGAAGAAGATAATGTTTCTTTACCTGATGGTTTTCTTCCAAAGGGATCACCCAGGACATCTACTCCATTTGGTACAGCGCATGGCAGAGAGAAAAGAGTGTCTAATGATGTGGAAAACTATTACAGACCTTCAATGCTTGAGGACCCCTGGGCTGGCCTAGAGCCAGTTTCTGTTACAGACATAAACCAACAATACAGCAATGAGCAAACAACATATACTGGTAAAAAAGGGAGGTATTTCAGTTAAAATTTCTAAAAGCTAAATAACTCCATCTGTCAGGAAAACTTTTGGACAAAATCTTTACACTTACACAAAATGAACAATAATCAAGACCCTAGCTAATGCTTATATTTGAACAAATGTCCACCCTTTTATCTGACTCTTTTTTACTGCATTGGATATTTTTATGTATGGGGAGGGAAAGGTAGTGATGGAATAATATACATTTCTGGCAACATGGAAGTGCCTACCAGCTTTGAAGAACAGTGTTCTTTAATCACCAGCGATTGATTTGTCTGTTAAAACAGGTTTCCATATAATTACCTCTTCCATGCCAGATTAACTTTTATTGTTTAACTCCTTTAGTAAGTGATATTTTTTTATGTTTCAGTATATTTTAGAATTAAGTGTGGAAACACAAAAAATAAAAACCTTTGTAAATCCTTGTTTGTAATGTAAAAATTATTTTTGGACATTTTTGTGAAGGTGTATTTGTCAAAGAATTAGTGAAATTAGTCATATTCTGTAAATATACCTGTATGCTGTGGTTAAACTGATTTTTGTGCACAATTTTCTGTTAATGCTAGTGTGATAAGTGAAACATGATTTTTAGCCATCTCAGGAAACAAATGTATTTGGAAGCTTTAGTTTGTTAAACCAACTCTTTAATGATAAACATTTGTAATGATCTTTGGGTTGGGTTTTTTGCTTAAGCGTTTTTTTGTTTTAGTTTTTGGTTGCATTTTAAGGGATTCATATTTGGAAACAATATGAAATTTATGGATTATAGCAAATCTGTTTTAGAGCAAGTAAAGTTTAACCTGCACATAAGCATTAGATAATTAAATGAATGCAAAGATGTTCTCTTCTAATTTTTAAAATAGTGTAGATCTGGTGATGAATCAAACTCAATTTGTATGATTAGATTGAGTACAGTACATACCATAACAGTTTCACTCTGAAATTGTCCGTTAGCATTTATAACTCTTCCGACTATTTTTTTTTTTTACCAGTCTTTGCCTATAAGAGCCTTTTTACCATTGTTTGTCTCCTGATGGGTAATGTGTATATGAAAGCTTTTAAAAGGTTTTTCTACACATGGAGTTATCCCTAAATCAGGGCTACTCAACTTTGGAAGCTCTGGGGGCCACAATGATACTCACAGCACATGCCAAGGGCCGCAACAAGTATGGTTGCAGATAGCTTCTTTCACACTGACAGGCAAGAATACACAACACACAGGCCCCCATTCAAGTCAGTTCTGCTGATATTAATAAAATGCAATATTTACCTGATTTCCACCCATATGACAGCACTTTTAATGAGCACTGACAGCCCAGGAATTTAACTACTAAAACACATATCAACAGAAGACCATTATATTGACTACTTTTTTATTTTGGCTCCTACCCGTGGGCCACATGTTGAGTCCCAAGTAAATCCAAACTGCACCGTGGTCTGCAAGCAAACATGCATGTTGACTAGCCTTTCCCTAAATGATTCCCCATATGAATTTATTTATTTTCAGAATAAATAGTGGATAACACCATGTTTAGACAAGCCTTTAGTAGAGGGGTGGGCAATAATTTTTGACCGAGAGCCACTTCAGAAATTTTAGAAGTGGCCCTGGGCTACCCTGGAAGTGGATGGGGTCTCAGGCGGAAGGGGCAGAGCCAGTACACTTCTGTGCTTCTCCATTCACAGACCCTGATTGGTCTGGGGGTGGCGGAGTGCATGAAGTCCTCCCTCCACTCCTGAGAGAACCGCCAGGTGTTCGGAACAGCTGACGGTTCCCTCTACATGCTCATGCCCCTGTGAGTGGGAGGAGATTTCACGTGCTCCCTCCTCCCTAGGTGTTCGGAACAGCTGACGGTTCCCTCTACATGCTCATGCCCCTGGGAGTGGGAGGAGATTTCACGAGCTCCCTCCTCCCTCCCCCCCACCCCACCTCACCCTTCGGTCAATCAGGGGCGAGGGGAGCATGGGAAATCTCTCAATCCCTGACCCCACCCTGCAAGCAGCAGCTGGTGGTTGACTTTAAGGGCTGAGCCCTAGGAGACTTTGCACTCTCCCCTACCCCCATCCAGCAAGGAGTGTGTGGTGCTTAGAAGCACTGTGCTCCTTGCAGGGCAGTAGGAGACTTTGTCTGACCCTCCCTGTCCCCAGGCCAATCAGGGCTTGGAGGCAGGGGGAGCACGCCTAGTCTCCTCCTGCCTTGCCAGGAGCGAGCAGCACTTCTAAGCTCTGTGCGCTCCTTGCAGGATGAGGGCAGGGCAGGAGGAAACTTAGCATGTTCCCCTAGGCCCTGATTGGCTTGAAGGTGGGGGAGGGAAGAGCAAAAAGTCTCTTGCTCCCTGTCCTCTGATATGCAGTGCTTTGTCAACCACCATGGTTGTCTCTAAGGGACTTACACTCCACTGTCCCAACACCCTGATTGGCCTGGAGGTAGGGGAGCAGCAGGGCCTTCATGGGCCAGATCAACCTGCTTGGCCCTTTTTTAATGTCTCCTTACCCCTGCCTTAGTATGACTTGTTATGCTTTTAGTAAATCTGTAAATTGCTAAAACATGAGACATGGTTGGAAATATCAATATTTGTTTCTAATGTTAGTTATACTGGATTTTAAATATAAATTATGGGGAGAGCTTAATAAAGTAAAGGAAGTCTGAGGTCAATTTTAAATTGTAACATTTAATGTTTGGGTGCTTCATATAATTCAGAAAAATGACCTTGTTAGTTGTAAGATTCACATATTCATTGATTTTGTGTGTATGTATATTCTTGCTTGCATTTATGATTTGCATCTATTGATGCCATCTTTGGGCACTACTCAATACACCTTGCTAAGTTGTAGTCTCCAAATAATGGGAGTTTTGCTTGAATGAGGAATGTGAAGTAGCCCTTAAGTGTTTGCAGAATTCTTCCATACATCCTGGCTTGATGTCAAGAATACTTAAACCCTCAGTTCAGAATCAAAATTGGTTCTTTGTTAACAGGCAGCTATTAGTGATATAGCATTAGCTTGAGCTCGTTTTTATCCACAGTGCACACCAGCAGGACTGAGATGACTTAAAAATAAACAAACCATGGAAAATTTTATGGAATTAAAAAGATGACTTAAAATTTTCCATGGTTTGTTTATTTTTATGGAATTAAAGCAATTAAATGTACCCATCATGAAAAGTGAAATATTATGCTTTACTTCTTTTTTTAATCTGACAGTGACTGGGATGCTTTAATGAGTCAACCTTCTTTTACTGTGCTATATGTACTTCAGTGTAGTTTCTTTTTAATTAACATGATTTATGCTCTTGAGAAACAGATTTGGTGGCATCTGATACTCTTCAGAGACTCAGATAATAAATGTTCCCAGTTACAGACATGAGAAGAAAAAGGTTTGGGGAAGGGAAAGGATTCGTAATGGAAGAGACTGTAAGAGGTGAGACAGTAGCCCAACATCAGCTGCCATTGCATTGTGTAAAGATGCATTTCGTTCCCTTTGACTTCACCGCTAACCCAGCTACCTTTGGATTTGAATCTGACTTCACAGAAGGTAGATGCTGTTCCAGAAAAGAAATTTTCAGATAAATATCTTGACACATTGTTAAACTAATGCAGGCCTTCAACAGCGCCATCTGTTATGCTCCTGCACATTTGACTCTACATTTATTGTAAAAGTACATCAAATGTCAGATTCCAGTAACTCAACCAAGAATCAGCAAGGAATACAACCATAAACATAATCTTTTGCTAAACTCCTTCAAGTACAAGCTATTCATATTGTAAGGTCGTCTTACTCTACAATAAACTGATCAGTGTATCAAAATGTCATTATTAACTAGCTGTGACTAAAATGCATACATTCTTGTTCATAGCTGTAAATACAAAGTATTTAAAGCCAAACACTTGTTTTCCCATGGATTTTGCCATTTTTCCATGTGGCAAACATTCCTTCTCCCACCTGCTTCTAATGGAGCTGGAATATAGGCATCCTCATTTGTTTCTGAAGCTTATGTATGGTATCATCATGGCTCTGGGAATAGTATTTGATAGGGGAAACACAGGTGCATCATGTCTTTGTGAGCTCTGTAAAAATGGTGTCTATTTTGCTGAGGAGTGGAATCTTCATTAAAGGAGAATATGAGGATATAGGGAATGTTTGTTCCCTAGCAGACTTCAGACATTTTAAGGTAAGTTATTCTTAGAGCTGTTTAATTTATGGTGAATTGATAAACTACTACTGTTTGCCCTCAGTCCTTTTGTTCATGGAGCTTTCCTGTTAACTCATTTTTTCAAGTCTCCAAAGCAATGCAATTACTTTTGACAACCTGTGAATCAAATATCTAATTTGACACATTGAAGTTTACTATTTTATCTCATTAAAGTTAAATTGTTATTGCTTTCACTTGCATATGGTGCAGATCCTCATCTGATTTAAATCATCTCCTTCATTGAGCAGAGTTATGAAAACTTACACCAACTGAGCATCTGTCCCAAAGGTGTATGTTACTTAGCTCTCGTGACAGGAATTCAGTTTTTGATTTTAGGTAGGTAGATTTTATTTTAGAATATTCGTATCTATTTTAGGTTATATTTTATTATTAATAAACATAGGTTAAAGTAACACCCAAAGTGTTAGGCAATTTATAGTATTGAATTCATTTCATGTTCATTGTGAGATCACCAGAATGTGACTATTAATTTACTCTTCCATGTCTAAAATTGTTATTGTTTATATATGGGTGAGTAATCAAACATATTAAATACGATATAAGAGGTATTTTAGTTTAGCACTTATTAAAAATGTTAACACTTTGCAACAGGGAAAAAACTTGGACAGCAGAGTGAAGCATCTGTCTGGTTCTGTTTTTTATTTTATTAAAAATACCATGTGGAAGGAAATGGGAAGGAATATACAAAACTTCTTGTCAGTTACCATTTTTGGGGGACTGTTAAGCACTGAATGTATGTCTTCACATGCTGCATCAGAGATAGGGATGTTAGCTATTGGTTAATTGACTAATCAAGTTGTTGATGGAATTTCCATGGACTGTTCGATTAATAGATAGGGGATGGGGTGTGCTCTGATGGAATTTCCATGGACTGCTCGATTAGGGGATAGGGTGTGCTTCTGCTGTGTGTCTGCACTTTAAATGTAGTAAGAGCCCGGGAATTAGAGCATCCCCAGGGTGGCATGAGCCAGGATCTGGAGCTAACTCTGCTATGGCTCTGCACTTTTAAAAGTACATTTAAATCTGTACATTTAAGTGCAGAGCCACAGCAGGTTTAGCTGCCCGGGACCGCTGCAGCTCTATCTCTACTGTTGTCCCCTCTGGCCACCACATGGCAGAGAGGGTGCTAAGGGGAACTGGCTTTTAAGTTCCTGCTCTTCCCTCCTCTGTCCCCCTCCCTGCCTCTGATACTTGATTACCTGACAAGCCTGTGGTTATTTGGAAGTCAGCTACTCGACTAGTCATTTACATCCCTAGTCGGAGGTCGACGTTCTGGTATTTGATTTAGCAGGTCTAATATGGACCTGTAAATCGAATGCTGAGGGCAGCTCCAACTGGTGTGTCTAGTTCTTCCAGTCGCAAGGAGTAAGGGAAACTGACAGGAGCGTTTGACCCCATCTGTCTCCTGCAATGGGGACGCTACAAGCTTGGCTTAAGGTCAGTAGAGTCCAGCTATGACCTGACCTTCCAGTCTAGTGTAGATCTGGCCTTAAAATGTGGCTAACTGAAATTGTTCCCTCCCATACACATCCCCCAAAAATCTTAAGGCCTTGATTCTGAAAAGGTTTCTGAGTGTGGTTAGCTTCTTTACGCAAGAAAATAGACTCATTAACATTCAAAGGGATTGCTTATGCAGGTTAAAATTTAATCGTGTCACGAGTGTTTGTGCCCACAAGCTCATGATACTACTTATGTTTTTGTTAGTCGCTAAAGTGCTACAGGACTATTTGTTTACATTTTTTAGTTACAGACAAACATGGTTATGCCCCTGTAGCCATGATAAATTTAGTTTAATCAGCTAATCGACTAGTCAATGGATTTTCCATCGATTAGTTGATAAGCAGGGGAACGGCAGTAGGGTTAGCTTCTGGCCTGTGACCTAACCAGGCTCTTATAAATATTTAAAAGGCAAAGCAGACCCTACTTTAGCTCTGCCTTTTAAATGTTTATAAGAGCCTATCGCCTCTTAATACATTTAAAAGGCTAAAGAGCAACAGGAGGGACCCAGCACAAGCTGGAAAAGCTGATTCCTGGCTCATGCATGGCCTCCCTTCTCCACTCCCCTCCCCTCACACACAGTCCTTCTGATTTTTAAATGTATTAAGAGCCAGGAGGCAGAGGCACAGCTTCTGGGACTGGGCAGGAGCCAGGAACCAGCTGACTCCCAGCTCAAGCTGGGTTCCCACTACTCCTCTGCGGAGACCATGCTGGGGGGAAACCAACCTTTAAGCTAGAACCCAGCTCCTGCTTCCCTCCCCTTGCTTCAGCAAGGGGGTGCGGGGAGTGACTAGTTGAGGGACTAGCTGATAAACTTTTGGTTATCAGATAGTTGACTAGTCACTTACATCCCTACCACTCTGAGACTTTTAGGCATGTGTGTAATTCCCTAGTTTGGAAATTGTACTACTCACCTGTGTTCTAATGGTATTAGTTAGTTCGCTTTTGCTCCTATCTTTCCAGCAAATAATCTTTAATAGTAACAGTTGTTCTGTATTTGACATGGCTGCCTAGAATAAAATTAAGATTACTTAAAAATATTTCTTCAAATGTATAATTAAATTAGTCCTATTCTGCTTTCCAGCACTTCCAGACATGCTGCCTTTGGGGATGGAGGAGTCCACTATATTATAAAGAATCATTTGTTGGATTTGTTTTTCTTGTATATAATTCACACAAACTCAGTTATTTTTGCTAAAGTAGGAAGGTTTGTTTTCTTTCAACATGAACATAAAGGCAGGAAAATATTAAAACTATCGCAACATTCGTGGTTAATATAGTTCTCCAATCCACTCCCAAAATAAAAATGTTACACCAATTTGTTTTCAGTTTAACCATATTCTTGCTGTCAGTGTATACAACATAAAAATATTTCATTGCCTGACCTCAATTTTTGCGTGTAACTTTTGTTATGAATATACATTTCACTAATATATGTGTTTAAAAATATGTAAATATGGAAGCAGAAATCCTAAGGTTAGAAATAGTTGTTAGGGTATCCAGAGCAAGAATTAATTATATTAATAATTAACCATATATTGTTATATCATTAGCATTAAGAGTAAGAGAACTTAAGTCAGTTAGACTTCTATATCAGAAGTGTACAGTTTGGGTGTGGAGGGGAGATTGTTTCCTTAATCCTAACAATTTTTACTCCTGAAATCTTTGGCCAACGTTCTTCATCTGCAATAGGGCTAGGCAGGTGATTCCTGCATTGCAAACCTATAAGCACAAGTTTTAAGCACAGACTTCTGCTGTTACATTCAGAGATGAGATTTTCAAAATAACACTCATTGGGCTAACTCTGCTCTTAATAAAGTCAATAGGCATTTCAGTGTATAATGGGAGCAGGATTAGGCTGATACAATTGCTTTTAAAAATCCGGTCACAGAAATTGAATACTAGCTTTTTGGAGAGGGAAGTTATTAGGATCGCTAGCAAAACAG